CTAATGGAACAAGACAATTTACATTTTTAATGAGAAATAGCAAATGCATTTTCATATTTCAAGTCCATATGATCTAATAATCTTATTTAAAGAGTAAAGATAGTAATTCCACTGGCAAGTGATCCTATTTACCATTTCAAATTAAGATTAAATACACTTTATGTAAGAAAGGTTTTTCTTATTTCTAGACCATTTTTGCACTGCACAGACAATGTCTGTGGAATTAGGAAGCTGAGGCAAATTTTGCAAAAACATAGATTTATTTTACGTCCGAGAATAGCTCTGACTGAAGCAAGCCCAGCAAACACATTTATACCTTACAAAATCCCAACACAACCACCCAACAGCTTTTGCAAATTTTGCACAGCACTGTGAGAATAACTTTCTTTTGCAGTTAAGGACAGAGTAGTTCTTGTTTTAAGAATGCTTATATTGGCTGTGCGTTAGGTTGACCCTTAATGGATTTTTCCATGTTAATCCATGTATGAATGAATGACTAATGGTGTAATAATATTTTAAGCTTCATATTAAAAAGATAAGACTGTTGTTTAAAGATGTTTCTGTAAGTTTGTGGTACTGTAGGATGTCTTTGAGGAAGAATGGTATATTCAACATTAACAAAATGGCCACCAAAAAAATAGTAATTACAGGGAATGATTTCCACATTGAATTTGTTGCTTTACGTTCACCTAATATTAATGTTTATATTTTAAAGGTACTTTTAAGGTAGGGTTGGAAACCGTCCCTTGAAATACGGAATTGTTCCGTATTTAGAAGTTAAATAAAGCATCCCGTATTGAACTGATAAGGGACGCCATTTGTTCCGTATTTTCAGCAATAACTAAAAAAACAGTAATTTCGGTGGCACTTGCGCACAGAACAACTCTACTGTTGCGAGTGTGACCCATGCCTGCGCGTCCTGACTCTCTCTCCCTCCCTCTCGTAGCCAGAACTTAGAGTTCTGCTGTTCTCGATTCACCTTCCCCTTATGACGTTGTCCGTCTAAAGCATTCTCCACTTGGTAATCTCTCTTCTTGGGTTGTTTGTCATGATTTCCTGGTGACAACACTCATGTTTAGTTCTAGTTCTACAAACTGTGCACCTTCAAATGCCAATTCGAAGCATCTATTGCAACATTATTCATTACAAGTGTCCAGCTGACCTGCTCAAATGCATTCTTATTTCTTTAAACTATATGCATCGCCATGGGTGTCTGAATATTTTAGCGTGCATAGCCATATTACTTTCTTTGTGGTACTGGAGCTGCTGTGCTGGTCTGAATTTCCATACATCCATCATGATCTTGGACAGTGGTTCTGAGACCTTGGGGGGCCACAGCATGTTGGCAGGAAAAGTATAGCACAACAAAGTGAGTCATTTAATAAACTGGGTGACTAACTAGCTTATTACAAGAAATACAAGCCACACTCAAAGAACAAAATAAAAGTACGGTTCTGTGTTGAGCTGAAACGGGACACAATTTGGTTAAAATGCAGGAAATTTCACCTAAGAAATACAAAATGTTCTGGGGGAGGACCTCCCCAGACACAAAGAAGTTTCTCTAGGATCCCCGCGTCCCTTATTTCCATTTATGAAAGGTGTCAACCCTATTTTAAGGTATTGTTTTTTTAACCTTAAGAAATATATGGCAGGAACAGTAACCAATAAAGTGAAATAAATAGCACTAAAAAAAATATTTTTGTGCTAAAAAATATTATACATAATTATATATACATAATATAAATTATATTTTTATTATTAATTAATATTAATAAAAATAATATTATTAAATTATTATTATTAAATCATATATATATATATATATATATATTATACTAATATATATTATATATAATGTTTCACAAAAGATCTGCAAGATTAATATTTTTCGTACATATTTTCGTTTATAATTTCCACGAAATAAAAATTGGTTCTCAGACAAAACATCTTGTGAGCAGCTTATGCATCTGCTATGGAAGCCCGTTTCCGCCACTCTGTAAAAAAAAAAAAAAAAAAACTATCTCAATATAATGAGATAGTAACTCAATATAATGAGATAGTATCTCATTATAATGAGATAGTAACTCAATATAATGAGATAGTATCTCATTATAATGAGATAGTATCTCAATATAATGAGATAGTATCTCATTATAATGAGATAGTAACTCAATATAATGAGATAGTATCTCATTATAATGAGATAGTAACTCAATATAATGAGATAGTATCTCATTATAATGAGATAGTAACTCAATATAATGAGATAGTATCTCATTATAATGAGATAGTATCTCAATATAATGAGATAGTATCTCATTATAATGAGATAGTAACTCAATGTAATGAGATAGTATCTCATTATAATGAGATAGTATCTCATTATATTGAGATAGTAACTCAATATAATGAGATAGTATCTCATTATATTGATATAGTTTTTTTTTGTTTTTTTTACCAATTTTTTAAGTTACAATTGAGTATTTTTGGTCAATAGCTCCCAGGTCATGTGACCTATTGACCCCAAATCAGTGTGAAATTGTTCTACTAGTCTCTGTAAATGGGGCACACTCATTTGTTTTTCATTTTAACTCTTTTTTTATTTTTTTTACCAATTTTCTTTGTTAAAATTGAGTATTTTTGGTCAATAGCTCCCAGGTCATGTGACCTATTGACCCAAAATCAGTGTGAAATTGTTCTACTAGTCTCTGTAGATGGGGCACACTTATTTGTTTTTCATTTTAACTCTTTTTTTATTTTTTTTAGCAATTTTTTAAGTTAAAATTGAGTATTTTTCTTCAATAGCTCCCAGGTCATGTGACCTATTGACCCAAAATCAGTGTGAAATTGTTCTACTAGTCTCTGTAGATGGGGCACACTCATTTGTTTTTCATTTTAACTCTTTTTTATTTTTTTACCAATTTTTTTAGTTAAAATTGAGTATTTTTGGTCAATAGCTCCCAGGTCATGTGACCTATTGACCCAAAATCAGTGTGAAATTGTTCTACTAGTCTCTGTAGATGGGGCACACTTATTTGTTTTTCATTTTAACTCTTTTTCTATTTTTTACCACATATGGACACCCTTATGCTTGAACATGGTGTTCGTTATGGACAATCCATGACGAGCACAGAAGTCCAACAACAGAACACCACTCGAGTTCAGATCGGGGTGACCATTCCTCCCAACCATGCCCCTCCAGGTCTCACTGTCATTGCCCACGTGAGCGTTGAAGTCTCCCATCAGAACAAGGGAGTCCCCAGGAGGGGCACCCTCCAGTTCTCCCTCTAAGGACTCCAAGAAGGGTGGGTAATCTTAACTGTTGTTCGGCCCGTTAGCACAGACAACAGTCAGAACCCGTCCCCCCACCCTTAGGCGGAGCCCTCTCGTTCACCGGGATGAACCCCAACGTACAGGCGCCGAGATGGGGGGCAACAAGTATGCCCACTCCTGCCCAGCGCCTCTCACTGTGGGCAACTCCAGAGTGGAAGTATGTCCAGCCCCTCTCAAGGAGACTGGTTCCAGAACCAGAACCATACGTCAGGTGAGACAGACTATTTCTAGCTGGAACCTCTCAGCCTCACACACTAGCTCCGGTCCCTTCCCACCAGCGAGGTGACATTCCACATCCCAAGAGCCAGCTTCTGCAGCCGAGGATCGGACCACCAGGGTCCCCTCCCCCGGCCAACACACATTGAATACGACCCTTATGGCCCCTCTCACGGGTGGTGGGCCCATGTAAGGGGGGACCCAACAATTCACACTGATTTTGGGTCAATAGGTCACATGACCTGGGAGCTATTGACCAAAAATACTCAATTTTAACTAAAAAAATTGGTAAAAAATAAAAAAAGAGTTAAAATGAAAAATAAATGAGTGTGCCCCATCTACAGAGACTAGTAGAACAATTTCACACTGATTTTGGGTCAATAGGTCACATGACCTGGGAGCTATTGACCAAAAATACTCAATTTTAACTAAAAAAAATGGTAAAAAAAATTAAAAAAAGAGTTAAAATGCAAAACAAATGAGTGTGACCCATCTACAGAGACTAGTAGAACAATTTCAGGCTGATTTTGGGTCAATAGGTCACATGACCTGGGAGCTATTGACCAACAATACTCAATTTTAACTAAAAAAATTGGTAAAAAATAAAAGAAAGAGTTAAAATGAAAAACAAATGAGAACAAATGAGTTCTACAGAGACTAGTAGAACAATTTCACACTGATTTTGGGTCAATAGGTCACATGACCTGGGAGCTATTGACCAAAAATACTCAATTTTAACTAAAAAAATTGGTAAAAAAATAAAAAAAGAGTTAAAATGCAAAACAAATGAGTGTGCCCCATCTACAGAGACTAGTAGAACAATTTCACACTGATTTTGGGTCAATAGGTCACATGACCTGGGAGCTATTGACCAAAAATACTAAATTTTAACTAAAAAAATTGGTAAAAAATAAAAAAGAAGAGTTAAAATGAAAATCAAATGAGTGTGCCCCATCTACAGAGACTAGTAGAACAATTTCCAAGTGATTTTGCGTCAATAGGTCACATGATCTGGGAGCTATTGACCAAAAATACTCAAATTTAACTTAAAAAATTGCTAAAAAATAAAAAAAGAGTTAAAATGAAAAACAAATGAGTGTGCCCCATCTACAGAGACTAGTAGAACAATTTCACACTGATTTTGCATCAATAGGTCACATGACCTGGGAGCTATTGACCAAAAATACTCAATTTTTACTTAAAAAAATGGTAAAAAAAAAAAAAAAAAAACTATCTCATTATAATGAGATACTATCTCATTATATTGAGTTACTATCTCATTATATTGAGATACTATCTCATTATATTGAGATAGTTTTTTTTTTTTTTTTTTTACAGAGTGGCGGAAACGGGCTTCCATAATCTGCAGAACCGTAAGGAGGACTTTTGAGTTAAACGACTTGGAGTCTTGGAACCGCCCCTAAGCTGCGAACTCCTATTTTCCTATTGGCTAACGCTGCCTCGTCGTTCAGAGTTTGTCCAATGAGCGCTCGAGCTTTTAGGATCGTGGGCGTGTACCTCCGCACTTCGTGTTGCTGTGTTTTCCGACGGTGGCACGGCTGGTAGTTGCACAGCTTATGCTAGTAAGTATCAGCAATACAATGCATCAAATGAGTCCCAGATATATTTGTTATATTTTATCAGAAAGTTACTTATTTTAAGATGTTTTCTTGAGGTATTTTCGCGTATTGGTGCGCCTGAGTCGTGTCTCTTTGCGGCTGTTCGTTAAGGCTAACTGCTATAGCTAACAGTTGTCGGAGATTCAATGGGGTCTCCTTCTGTTTCCTCGACCATTTTGGTGTCCCTTAATCAACACGACTAAATATAGCCTTAGATTTGATGTTTTAGATATTTGTAGATGCACATATATGGAAACGGAGAGTATCGGTTTAAAGGTTTGCTCATTGAGGAGCATGCTTTTAGCTTTAAAACGGTCGATGAACGTTTTTTTTTTCTTCGTATTTTTGGGGAGGTATGTGAACCAAAATAAGATGGCGTCTGTTTTTTAAATTCCTCCGACTGAAAATGTAGGTTTAGATTCGTATACGTTTTTCTTGTTATCTACCTTTTTCAGCCAATGTTGCAAATACTAGCTTGGTGTTTTTTTGCCTGTAGTTTTTCATTTTTTTTGGTCCGTTCATTCAGTAGGCCAGAGGTGATGCTACGATTAGCAGACTAACTGAATAGAAGCGCGTGAGGCATGGGTGGGTTTTCACCTTATCTTTGAAAACAATGTATTCCACTGTTCACCAGAGCCTCTTTTTAAATAGATGAAAGTTTAATTATTACGGTCGTACTTAATGGAGTCTGTTGTATTTTGCTTGTTATAGTTTCACGCGACGAGTTTTTCCAAGTCTAGCAGGTTGATGCAAATAGGATTAGAATTTAAGAGATATTTTTAAACTTAAGGCTTTATCAATCTAATTTTAAATATCAGTTTACAATAAAACAAACGATTCTTCGCAGAATGTACAGAATTGTTTATAAAATAAAATAAAAATCGGGTAAATCTAGTCGTTTTTGTTTGACCCAAACTTCAGCTAAATATATTGTGGTTATCTTTGGGTCGGGTGAAAGAATCTCGATGTGTTTTCTTTACAAAATGTACCTAATTATTAAAAGATGTTAAATTCTTCTTCTTTTTTTATGATCTTTGCAGACTTTAATTCGACTGTAGCCACAAACCCAGCAATTCATTCTTATGTCTGAGATTTGATCAGATTTGGGACCTGGAGTTTCACTGACCACATCAGTTTTAATTATCTTTCAATGTCTTAACAAAATATGGTCAAATTTCACAAAGGTTTCAATAGAAACTGAATGGGAAAAGAATAGCATTATCTAACATGTATACTTTCAAAGGAATTGTAAGTAAATAAATTTAGAGCAAAGTCAGTCTGACATACTAAAATTACCAGGAATTTGACCTCTGACTTTAATAAACATTCCTCTGTTGATATTTACTGAGTTTAGTGTAAGTAAAACAGATTTTTAGCCAACTCAAATGTGTTCCTATATATTTTTAACTCATCAAATCAAGCAGCCAAAAGTCAGCAATTAAAATCTTCCTCTTTCAAAGCTATTAATGAATCCTAAAACGATTCAAAAGTATTGAAGAAATCACATTTAAATTATAATTTTTCTGCCATCTTGATGAGTCTACCCTTCTTGTTGTGTCTTTCCTCGCTTTGTGATGACTGTTGTTCTTCTCTCACAGAAACAAGCACCAGCCGCGTATTTTCTCTCTCCACGACGACACTTTTAACCTTGTAAAGTCAACAGCTTCACCGCAATGAAAATGGTAAAGTTGCAATTTCTGTTCTGTTCTCTTACCATTAGCCAAATGCAATCATCTATTGGGAGAAAAACTAATAAGTTCCATTCTTTTTGTTTTAGAAATAAAGTAAATTGTGTTTTCATTGTTTATTTGCTGCCAACAGGTAGTCAATCTAACCTACATTTAAAGCTACAGTGTGTAATAATTACAGGCATATAAATTCAGAAATTTAATATATTATACATAACTATGTTATTTATCATCACCTATGAGCTCAGCCTTTTAACCATAACATTTGCGTTGCCTTAGAATTCGTTATTTATAATTACATAGGAGCGGGTCTCGCAGCCATGGAGGCAGACATCTTTGCGCTACGGCAAGCGCAGAGGCAACAAACTAGCGATTGCGAGATCTCCCATGACGCTCGAAAATAACTACGGCAAGTTGAGAGAGATGAACTGAGACGGTACTGAACAGTAGATGGCAGTATTATGCCTGAGAAGCGTTTAGTCTGCCTGAAACCAAAGAAGAAGAAGAAGCAGGTATACTGCGCCTCGGTAACAAGAAAGGTAAACAAGGCGGCAGGCGTGAGTGACTTTGCAAACTGTTTGGCACTGTGTGGCCAAACATCAGACGAATGGAGGATCATGCCTACTCTGTATCACAACGAAAAGCGGCGGACACCGAACCCCCGTCATCTAAGAAGCGGAAACACGACGAGAATAAACGCAAGAGTGACAAGAAACGACAAAAAAAACGGATCAACATTGGCACGGCATTTACACGATGGAAGTCACTGATGGAGGAAAAAGGTTTTCAAAGTGACGCTCAAGTTGCCAGTTTTCTCTTGGACAGGTAATTAATCCTATACACACAATTGTCTAATATCACTGCAGTTTTTGGAGTACAGGATGCTCAGACCTGTCTAAAACAATAACATGCTGCGTGATGATGCTGTTACTCTCCAGTATACTTATTCAGCAACGTCCCTGACGTTTCACAGGTAATGATTCAGTAATTTTCTGTAAAATAATTTTCTGGATATATACCTCGGTTACTTCTCTCCGGCTCCTTTGGAGATCTTCAAGCCTTTCCTCCTCTGCTCTCACCCCGCTGGCTCCCCTCTCTCGCCTGGCCCCAGCTGCACGCTCACCCCGGCCTCTCTGCCCTCTTCCTTTCCCTCTTCCTCGCCTTGTAACCCCCGTGCCACAAACAAGACTTGGACTCTGTAAACGGGGAATATATATTCTTCCAGCGAACACAATCTCGCTGTTAAACTAATGACTACAATTACTTCGTCTGTTTATATCACCATGCAAAGCAGCTCACCAAAACGTCACAACGACGTAGAAAAAATAACGGGTATATTTATTATCTTAAGTCTACATGAAATCTATACCCTACACAGACTAATGAAATACTATCTGTAAAATTATCTATGTAAACAAACCTCATCACTTGAGAAGGTAGGTGATGCGGACGTCGTGGAAGACATTTTGTCCCGTAACGCTCGCCGTACTGTTGGGGGGGAGAAGCGGTGGGGGGGAGACGTTCATGTTGCTGCAGTCTGACCGCTAGATGTCGCTGAAAATTACACACTGTAGCTTTAACTTCTTGTGCATGTTGGCTTTAGATTGTCTAAGGCCACTTAATCCAGGGTTTAAAATAAAGTTAATTAATAAAAAGCATTTAAATTAAAATTAACCAAACCGTATAAATGCTTTGACCCAAATAATCCATGTTGCCCTCAAACTTGCTGCACGAAGTAGGATTAGTAAAATAACTGTTAAACAACTGTTCTCATGAGTTTATTTGGAAAACAGAAAAGCATACCATTAAAAGTAAAAACGGTAACAACATTCTATATATTTGTATTTGGATAAGTTAATGTGGGAAAATGTGATTAATTAGATGTTTTCACTGTAATTCACTTTCACATACTTGATCATCTGCTGAACATTAGTGCTAGCTGGTTTCTGCTTGTTCTTTTTAAAGGATCTCTTGAATATTTCATGGTATATTTTAACCGTGCCTGTTTTCCAACCCTAGCCACCTCCACCGCGTCACAGAGCGATGCGTGTCTTTATGAACGGGGACCGCCACGTCATGGCCAAACATTCGGCCATCTATCCAACCCAGGAGGAGCTGGAAAGTGTCCAGAACATGGTGTCCCACACGGAGCGTGCTCTCAAAGCTGTTTCTGATTGGCTGGATAAAGAGGAAAAGGGAACTACTAAGTCTGAATTTGAAGGCACAGAAGCTGACAAAGACAGGTGAGGAAATATTTGGTGTTTTCCTCCTGGTTACTGGATGAGAACAACATAATCAGCTAACTTGTTTCATCTGCTTTGGATTCCAAAAGTGAGCAGAAGGATCAGGCCACTCGTACTCTGCGTGGTGTGATGAGGGTGGGCCTGGTGGCTAAAGGTTTGCTGCTGAAAGGAGATCTGGACCTAGAGCTGGTTCTTCTCTGTAAGGACAAGCCTACCATCGGTCTGCTGGAGCGAGTGTCTGATAACCTTATTGCACAGATACAGGTACGAAGGGGAATAAAGGCTGGGACGTACTGGATAGTTTTTTTTTTTGTTTTTTTTTCATGCTTTCTGTCAGAACATGGTTGTTCTTTGTTTATAGCAGAGTCAGGCTGGACCATGTTCTGTCTTTGTTGGACATACGCAACAGTTTGATAGGAATTAGGCAAAGTTAAAACTTTCAATTGTATAGCAAACTGGCCCGGTTCGTCCCTATAGAGCGGAGGTCACAGATTAGCGGTCCGAACCAGGGCCCAGCTGCTGGTTAATCCGGACCCATTTATAAGTTACTGCATGTTGTCCGACAACAGTGTCTAACTTCTCTTCCACTGCTTCTCCTGTTAATATGATAAAGCCCCCCGGAGCGTCCGAAACCCGGCTGTATGTGATACAAATTAGCCAGTGAGCTGCTGTCACTCTGGGTTGCTGCTGCTAGCTACTTTTAGACACAGCCAAAAAAATCTGTGGCAAGCCGGGTCATGGGAAAGAAGGAGAATAGACAATGAGAAAAAAATGAAAAATTGTGTACTGCTGGAATAACTGTAGTGAACTGGTGACAGAAAAGTGAAATGGTGTGCTCAAAGTTGACGCTGCACATTTTGAGTATGTCAATTCAGAACCAGGTCGTCTGCGTGTGTTGCAGTTAACACAGATGTGACCCAACCCCTTCCGCAGACACTCTGGTGCACCTCTCCAAGATTGTAGGTGACCGCAGACAGGAGGCTTCTGATTGGTCAAATCTGCATCCGCTCTACACTATGCGTATATACTGTTTGGTACCTTACCAGCCTTTTTTTTTTTTTTTTGTATGACCACCATTGTGGAAAACGATTCGTGAGGTTGGACCAGCTAGAAGAGCGAAGTACGCGAGAACGCTGGGACCCTTTTTCCACCTGGATCCCCGCTCTTTTTGGCTCTCATGTCCCTCTGTTGTTGCACAAACTTTCCCCCACTTCCTCGCCTACTCTGCCTTATCTAAACCCAGAGCTAGTTTCTGATTGTCCCTCTTGCGTTGTGGCGTGGAATAACACAGCGCAGACCACACTTCAATATTGGGCATAACTCAAAAATATCTGCGACAAGCTCACTGAAATGCACTGCTGCGGGAGGATAACCAGCCCTGACGTCTCTCTGAGCTTTATATCAACTTAAACTCTGGATCCTCCTAGATTTTTCCTTTTTAAGGAGATTTGATAAACATTCGGATGTCACCTGTTGAATCTGATTTATTTTTATACTTGGTATGTTTCTGTGTCCAAAGTATTTATATCAAACCTCATTATACTAATTTCTCCTTCCCAGGCAATAACAGAAGATAAATATATCGTAACGCAGAATATCAGTGATGCCAGCATCATTATCCAGAACACAAAGGAGCCCCCCCTCACGCTCACTATTCACCTCACATCCCCTCTGGTCCGTGAAGAGATAGAGAAGGCTACTGCCGGAGGTAAGCGTCCCAAATAACGACTCTCTCTCTCCCTTTATTAGTGGTAACCTACTTCCAGCTGGGAGGCCAGGCAGACATCAAGGCTAGATAGATATTGTTTATTGGGCCTTCAATGGAGCTAGGGGACAAGAAGACCTTCAGATAAAGAAACAGCGCTATGTTTATAGCTCTCTAGACTCTCTCGTAGTTCCATGTGATGTAATTGTACATTTTTGATGGCCCAATATACAGTAAAGGGCAGGTAGTGTAATTATTGTTGAAGACATGGTTTCTGTTCCCCTTTAAAGATCCAGGTAACAATGAAATGAAGGCTTACTGAGAATTAACCCAAATACAAAACCACTGAGACCACTGTGTTTGCATGTGTTTTTATCATTGATGATGAACGGTTCGCATTGCAGCAAAAATGAGAAGCAAAAAGCCCAAACTCTTTGTTTGACCTCCCCCTCCCCACCCACAGTGGGCTGTTAACCGCCTCCGGTTGTTTCAGCAGGAAAGGTCCAAGGTTACAGATGATGACAAGGGGAGCAGGAAATTGGCATCCATGTCAGCTGGTGTAGCCGTCCCAGCGATCCTTTGAAATTTGAGTGATTAGATCAAATGATTGGGGTTGAGTCAGGTCTTTATGTTCTCGTTTCTCTAACAGAGAGGACGGTAGCCTTGACTTTATCTGTAGCCCTGCACTGACAGCGATGCCCCGTTTGGGCCTTCGTCCATCAGCCATCAGTTTTGCTGCAGTGTGGACTTGTTTTGATACCCACTTATTGTGCATTTGATCATTTCTGCCTGTGGTTCCAATTCTGATTCTCTCTGTCAAGCCTTCTAGTTTGTCAATTTTTAGGGACGCTGGACCTTTGACCAACTGGCCGCTCTCTGTCTCGGAAGGGGCAAAGTGCAGTGTACCCAGTATAGGGGCAAAGGGGAGGGGTTCCACCTCCTGTTAACGTGGGGGGGAGAGGGGAGTGTCTGTTTGAGCTGAAAAACTGTGGAGACAACCTCCCATTTGATACTTTTATTTTTTAAGTGTTTGTGTTTTTTTACAGAGGTTATGACTTACGTCACAACCCGAGTAAACCGGGTTTCTAGTAGAGATGCATTGATCAGAAGTTCTGCAGCCAGTTTTGGAAATCTACAACCTTCCATAAGGGTTTATAACTAACTGTAGAATGCTTTTATCTTAAGTAAAGAAAAAAAAGCATTTTTGTAACATTCAAATCAGTTTATATTGCGCCAATTCACAACACGTCATCTTAAGGTACAATTGAATCAGATCATTGAGTCAGATTGGTTCAAAGATTTCCATCTAAGAAAAACACAATGATTGAATCAACTCTTTGACTTGAAAGCAATCCATCACACTGAGCATGCGTGCAGAGTGGGGAGGGGGACGAACCTCCCGCAGAATCGGGTTCAGTGTGAACGGCGGTAAGGTAACTGGCGTGGCGGCAGTGCAGAGGTTAAGCAAACGACCCATGTACAGAGGCTTTGTCCTCAACACGACTGCCACAGGTTCGAGTCCTGGCCTTGTTACTTTACTTTACTTTACTTACACATCTCTTTCCACCTCTCTATAATCCCTCTTCCTATCTGAATACTTTCAGGAAATACAAAAATCAAGGCCATGCGAGCCTAAAAAATATCCTCTTTAGATAATATAACGGTAAAGTAGTCCCACAGCTTAGGAGACGAGTTCTGAAAGGGTGAAATGTAGCACATATTTAGTCACAGTAAAAGCTGAGTCCATGGCTGTGTCTATTAGAAAAACAGGACTAAGCACTGAAAATAATCTATAATCATCTATAATCCGAGATGTTAACAGCAGCAGCCCAGCTGATTATTCTCTCCACGATCTCAGCTAAACGGGTTAATCTTTAGATATGGTAAAAGTTTTTTTTTTGTCCAACAAAACCCAGTGTAATCTAATCTTTTAAGAGGCTCTGGGTGGCTGTATTGTGTTTAGAGTTAGGCTACAGCAGTTGGCACCACACAGCTCTGCTAACGAAAAAGAGTCAACAATTATCTTGAGGCAGGTTTGCATGAACAGGTACATAAAAAGCTTTTATGATCGTGAGCCTCATAAACCGCTCAGTGGGAAAGTGCTTCTATCCAGGAGCAGCTATTCGTATCCAACTGTTTAAACATGACATCCAGCCGCTTCCTCTCTGCACTGATTGGTGTCCTGTGAGTGGAAACAAAACAGCGCTACTAGATCATCAAACTCGCCTTCATGTCTAAACCGACATATTTTCCTTAGTCGTTTAATGACCTCATATACCATCTTATTTTTTAAAGCCGTGGGAAAATATCTGATTAATTGATCTAGGAATATTTAGGCATTAATATGAAGGCAAAAACATTAGACAGCATGCCTTCGTTCTCTAAAACCTGCTTGTTGCCAGCTAGCTTGTGGCGTTCTGAAAAGCCTCATAGCATCCCTATGAGGAGGGAAAAAAAGGAAAATCCGATTCTGGCCGCCGGAGAATTCTTCGATGCATCTCTATTTTGCAGGTGTCCCTTTGTGTGTATGCGTGCGTGAGAGGGAGAGAAAGCAGGGGCAGGCTGTATGATATTAACTGGGAAGTTGAAAGCTTTGGGTGGTTCTCCAGTGGAGGGATCCCCTCCCCTTCCCCTTTCCTGCCTGTGGTTTGGGAAGGCTGCCTGTGTTCCCCCTGGCCGGCTGACAGAACTCCCCTTGGTCAAACTGTACCTTGTCTTCTTATTCCACCTGCCAATAGAAACGCTTTCAGTCATCGAGCCTCCGGATGTTCTGGACAGGCAGAAATGCCTAACTGCCTTGGCATCTCTACGCCACGCTAAGTGGTTCCAGGTTTGAACCTTGTCTTTATTTGTCTCTAAAACAGATGTAGCTTTGAGTTTTTTTGTTTTATGCTCTTTATTCTTTTATTTCCCTCTTTTGAGGCGTACTTCCTGTAGTATAATTTTAATGACTTGGGTGTTTGTTTCTTAGGATATATGTGTGTCATCACACGCTTCAGTTGCTTTGTTCACTTTACAGGTTCTCTGTCAGTAAAATTGATTCTAAGGAAATGTTGCTGCTTTTAGCTCTTAAGTTTCACTACCTTCCTCATTTAGCGAAGCTTTTGTTTTGACTCAAATCAACAGAATCTGGAACTAATAGCCACGCATCCAGGTGCAATATTTCTCTCTCATTGTTGCTGTGAATGAGTTGTTTTTGTTTTCATAAACGAAATACGCAAGCTACTTTTAGAGCACTTTGTTGCTGCCCCACGTGGTAACGTAAGGCCAACTGTTTGTGGTTAACCGTGTTTTATTACTCGTAGTACTTTGCCTGCGTCAGCTTTGGCTTTTCTGTAACAATCCGTGCTCCATCTCAGCAGCTTCTAAGTGTGAAGTATGTGGCCCTCAACCTCCCTTCTCTGCTCTCCTGGCTGCTTTTCGTTAGTTTGTGCCACAAAATCAACAGGAATATTGCACCTTGAGTCATTTCTGAGTTTTTTTCCCTCTAACTCACCCATGCCTCCCCCTCACAGTGACGCCACATGTATGCACAGCTTTTTGTAATGGTTCACTTGATTCTTACACTAGCTTAAGAGAGTTTGAGGTGTTTTTATCCACTTCTTTCCTTCTGATCCTTCTTAGATGCATGTTTTGTGTTTTCTTTTTTTTGAAGCAGTAGTTTAAACCTGATAGCTTCAGTACCAGATATTTGTATGTATGGATGTTGCTAAACCAGTTCATGATCTTAAGATCTTCTTGTAAAGTGATCCTTAAACATCCGGGGATATTTTCCACAGTGACAAAGCTAAGCTGAAATAGTCTGTGGCTCCATTTTTCTATATTTACCTTTTAATGTCGGTGGTGTTCTTGCTTGTCCCACATAGCGGTCTCTTCTTGACTAAGACTTGTCTTCCTACCACCTTGCCCCACCCCCTCCCGACTCCTGCTTGTGTTTCCAGGCCAGAGCCAACGGACTGCGCTCTTGCGTCATCGTCATCCGGATCCTAAGGGACCTGTGCACCCGAGTCCCTACATGGGCCCCGCTCCGTGGCTGGGTAAGTTCGCAAACCAAGTGTTTATACTTGCCATAATAAAAATTGTTACTCTAAGCAAGGGCCGAACATTTTCGGCAAAAATCTAATTTGCAAATAATTTCAACCAATATTGCACTAAGCTGATTTTTTTACTCCAGGTTTTCAGTTTTTCCATGACATTGAAAGCCTGCTTGTGCAAATCTAGCGCTGCAGGACTTTGCTGTAACACTTTTAGGAAAAGGTTTTTCTACAGAAGTCACAGATTAGCGGACCGCTGTCCGGATCCAGACCCACATTCTGGTTAATCCGGACTAGGGTTGTCACGATACTAAACTTTTCAACTCGATACCAATACTAAGTAAAATATTCGATACCCTTTTCGATGCAACAAGAATAAAAACAAAGACTCTAAAATTCAACAGAAATATTTTAATTACTAAAAAAAAAATAAGAACAATATTTTGAGGTTGTATTCTGTGCACAATATTACGCAAGCTTGATAAAAAACTTACAAAATTAAAATTAAGTGTTCCTTCCTTGGCTATGCTTTGCACACATAACAATGACACTAGCCAAACCAGTTAAACAAAAATAATTCTCAGCAGCTGCACCTGTTACAAAAAAAGTCTGAAACTGAAAAATGCACAGAGTTATTCAATCACACAGTGTTCAGAAAGTGCATTTTCCACAATTTTGCACTTTAGATGGCTGTATCGATACTTTTTGGAGTATCGATACTTTTGACAACCCTAATCCGGACCCAACCTGATTTAAAATATTAATAAATTACTGCATGTTGTCCGATTAACAGTGTCTAACTTCACTTGCGCCACTTCTCCACTTAATACGGTAAAGCCCTTCAAAGTGTCCGGCACCAGGCTAAACATGAACAAATTAGCCAATGAGCTGCTGTCAGTCTGGGCTGCTGCTGCTGCTACTTTTAGACACAGCAGGCAAACCTGTGGTAGACCAGGCGATGGGGAAGAAGAAGAAGACGACGAGAAAGAGGAAAAAAATAGAGAAAGTGTAGACTGCTGGAAGAACCGTGGTAAACTGGTGAAAGAAAAGTGAAATGGTGCTCAAAGATGACCCTGCACATTTAGAGTTTGTTTGGCTCAACCTGCTGCTGTGAAGCAGGATTCTCCACTATGAACAGAATCTAAAATAAATATAGATCCAGGGTTAAAATGAGAACCTTGATATGTGCTTCAGAATGGCTTTGTCTCTATTCAAACCCAGGTTTAAAGCCTTGCAGGGCAGCATAAAGCCCACTGCTCTCATTAAGACAGAAAAAACTGAGGGCTGAGGGGGCAGAGAGAGATTTCAGAAACTTGTGTAGTGCCTCATATTAGCACCTGCTAAGAGCGAAGCTCGTTTTTCCATCTGTTTTTATAGAGAAAGAAAGAAAATACAATTAGTTCTGTTTAAAGCGTTAAAATCCGGGCTCTTTTTTTACTAAAACAACACTTGATGTTTGCTGATTTCAAAAGCCTGATTTGTTGCACGCCGTCCATTTTTAAGGATTTTTTTGGACGAAGCTTCGAAATTGATACTGTAGGATGCTTTGCTGGTTTCGTCTTTTGTAAAGAAGAATCTCTTCCGTTATTGGCCAGGGCAGTTTGGAAGTTTGTACTTCTGGAGCCAGTGTTGTTGCTTTTTGTTTTTTTTTCCTTAATGTTTTATTGATGCATTCTGCTGGAATCCTTGAAAATCCTCCATTCAGCACTGTTCCACTTGTAATGTTGCAAAGAAGAATTCTTCTGAGAGAATTCAACACTTTCATTCTCTCTTCTGTTGCACAGCCGCTGGAGCTGATCTGTGAGAAAGCGATCGGCACAGGAAACCGACCCATGGGGGCGGGTGAAGCTCTGCGGAGAGTTTTAGAGTGTCTTGCTTCAGGGATCCTCCTGCCAGGTGTGTAAAAACCTCCTGTTCCTCCTCACAGGTAATCTTTGCTTTTGATCTAAATCAAGCCTTGAACTGCTGTTTTTCAGATGGGCCTGGTATTTACGACCCCTGTGAGAAGGACCCTACTGATGCCATCGGTCACTTGGATCAGCAGCAGCGGGAAGACATCACACTGAGCGCACAAGTGAGCCTATTAAAGCTGCTTAGCCATATTCAGCTGATAAAACACGATTAACCTAATAAAATGTATTTCTCCTGTCGCCAGCATGCTTTAAGGCTGTCAGCTTTTGGGCAGCTTCACAAAGTGCTGGGAATGGACCCTCTACCCTCAAAAATGCCCAAAAAGCCCCGCAGTGATACCCCCATTGATTACACAGGTACAGCACCCTGTCGTTTTGGAGGTATACAAACATTATTGTAATTAAAGAACATTTTTGGATCTTTAAAATTGGAGATATGTTTCTAATGACATGATTTAATGTTTATTTAGTGCAAATCCCGCCCAGCACGGCGTACGCCCCACCCATGAAGAGGCCTATAGAGGAAGAGGAGGGACCCGATGACAAGAGTCCAAACAAAAAGAAGAAAAAGCTGCAGAAGAAATGTAAGTTTATCTGTAGTAACTTAGTTTAGCTTAAATCCTCATTTATTTCCTTTACTACATTCAAGTTATTGGCTGTTAGAAAGATTAACCTTTGCTGGTTTTGTTCCAAAAAGCTGCAGATGAAAAAGCTGAACCACCTCAGGCTATGAACGCCTTAATGCGGCTCAATCAGCTGAAACCAGGCCTCCAGTATAAGCTGATATCCCAAACTGGTCCAGTTCACGTTCCGGTATTCACTATGGCTGTGGAGGTGGACGGAAAGTCGTTTGAAGCTTCAGGTCCATCGAAGCGCACGGCCAAGCTGCACGTAGCCGTCAAGGTGAGCGCAGTCTCCTAAATGTATTTACTGACGGTGCACGCAGCTCCACGCTTGGACCAATCAGATGGACTTTGCTGATTTTAAATCAAACTGAATGTTTTTGGGTGAGTTTAGGTGCTGCAGGACATGGGCCTACCCACCGGGGTGGAAGTGAAGAGTGAACCGACTGTTAAAGTGGAAGAAACAGCGGTAGCAGTCACAGCAGAAGAAGTGCAGCCGCCAGCGACGCCCACCGAATCTTCCTCTGCCACCACTGCAGCAGCGCCGCCTGCTGCCACCGAAGCTACAGAGGTAAACATCAGCGGATAACGCAGGACGCCAATTAGTTGGATCTCCAGTCACGGCCGCTTTTTCTCCTTTCAGACCACTCGCCAACAGGGACCAATCCTGACTAAACACGGCAAGAACCCCGTCATGGAGCTGAACGAGAAGAGGCGGGGCCTCAAGTACGAGCTCATCTTGGAGACGGGCGGCAGTCACGACAAACGCTTCGTCATGGAGGTGGAGATAGATGGGCAGAAGTTCCAGGGCACAGGATCCAATAAGAAGGTGGCCAAGGCGTACGCAGCGCTGGCTGCCCTGGAGAAGCTTTTCCCTGAAGGCTCTGTTCCTGAGCCGTCCAAGAAGAAGAAGGGACCACCCATGGTAGGCGTCCTGGGACAGCGCCCCCCCTAAGGCCTTTATGCTTTCTTACTACTTCTCTGCTTTTTCACATTTTCACTTTTTTTTTTTTTCCCAAAATCTTGCATTTAAATTTTATCCCTGCAACACAGCATAAATGTCAGGAATCCTCTTTTTCTGCACCTCTGGAGATCAGTCTGTAAATATGTGTTGGTCTCACTCTGTCCAGCTCATTCTAACTCATTAATATCGCACCGATTTTTAAATACGTTGTCTCAAGGCACCTTATAGAGAAAATTCAATCAAATCATCCAAATAAACTAGTTAAATCTTTTTTTAGTAAGTCCAGCTGACTGCGTTCGGTCATTGAGGAATTGACTCCTTCTGGGTGAGCAAAAAGGGACAGTGGAGAGAAAAACTCCCTTTAACAGGAAGAAATGCATCAGTGTGGGCGTCCTGATAGGGGGTCAGCCTCCTCAGTTGTTCCATGGTAATGAGGAAGAAAATCATCCCTGCAGCTTTACGTGTTTTAAAGAGGAGGGTTTGTAGCCATGGTGACATGCAGTGCTCAATCTCCTGATCTAAAGGAGAACCTTCTACACAATCTCCCAGCTCATCTGTTGGTCTTTGCTTTTTTTCCACGGTTTTCACCAGCAGCATTTCCATTGACCAGCAAATTGACATTATGATAATCAATCTTTCTTGTTTTTCTTTTTTTATTTTTTTTATTAAAGAGACTAAAGATTATTTTGTTATTTTAGTCTTATCAATTAACTGTTTTCACATTGTACAAGTCAGGTGATCAAAAACTGAATGTTACTCCTTATTTAGTTGAGCTGCCCCAAAAGCAATATCATCTTAAGTTATATGCTCATTTAAAATAAAAAACAAAGCAATGATTTTTCCAAGTTTTACCAGTATATGCCAGTCATATATCAACGGTCAATCTGTCTAATTTTTCAGTCATAGCATCTTGATTCATATGTCGCAGTTAATATACGCAACGGTTGAAATAAGAATCGTTTACTTTCCCATTGAGTTCCATCCCAGTGTTCAAGGGAATCCGACACTAAACTCTCCTCCTCTTGCATGTTTCCTCTGTCCATAGCGTTTCTTGACAGTGTTGTTTCTAAGTCACCAATTTAGTGCTACTTGGTCCCAATGGAATTTCCCATTGGGAACCTACTAGCACTAAGTTGCTAACTGGTTAGCAAGATGCTTCTGACAAACCAGCCACAACCAAACTGCTGTCGAACCTTTCGCCACAACAATCCCGCCCCCTTGATAAACGACCAATCACATTCACTTTATTCACTCGGGGACAAAGTCGGGCATCACTCGGGAGAATTGGGAACTGTGACGGTTGGAACTGCTGCTTTCCATCGACTTTAATAAAATATCCATGATTTTTTTTTATTTTATTTTATAGTAATGTGAGAGAAGTAAGAAGTCGAAGGGGCAAGAATTCCTGCAGCTCAGAGGATTGTTTTTCCTCTGGTTAATAAAATTAAATCTTTTTTATCCTTTTAAGCACCCATCTTTTGGCCTGATGGGAGGCGTGGAAGCCGGTGCTCCCAGAGGCAGAGGTAGAGGAGGACGAGGCCGAGGAAGAGGCAGAGGCTTCAACAATGGCGGAGGCTACGGCCAAGGAGGTAGAAACCTGCATTCCCTTTTGGGACGCTGAGCTAACGGGGTTTAAATCGCCTCGCTAACATTTGTGCTTTCCTGTCAGGTGGTTTTGGAACGTACGGATACGGTAACAGCACCAACTCTGGATACAGTGAGTATTTAGTTTGTTTCCCTCTAATGTTGCAAACATTTGTCATTCTGGATAAAAGTAAAAGACAGGTTGACCATTGTGTTGGCAGAGATGTCCTTGTGTCCTTCAGTTTGTTGCAACTCTCCATTTTTTTGTAAAAGCTCCTTAATCTCACTGGGATTATCCTGGCTGAGTGATTTTACATTTCTCTGCTTTAAGCCACAGGGTTGAATCGGGTTTTTTTTGACAAGCCTCCTCTTATGAGTTTCCCTTTCTTCATTCTGGCAGCCTGGTTTGAAGACTTGACCTACCTGAGCGTGACAGGAGCAGAGAAATCTAAAAAACCAATGTCCAACACAATAAAATAAACAACCTAATCTGACCTAACATGGCCTGCCGCTTTTAAGGCAGAAGAAAAATTCAAAATAATCTAATTTTGACATTTTTTTGTCCCCTTCTCTGCCCTGTCTCACTCTTTAGGTGACTTTGTCTCAGACTACTATGGCTACCACGAGTTTGCGACATAGAACTTCCCAGGCTTAGTGAAAGGAAAAAACAAAACAAAAACAATCCTGTTGAGAGGATTTTAAAGGACAAAATACTCTGTAGTGTTCCAGCAAGATCGTAGAGTCCCATCACCGCCATGTTCACCACCCTGGGGATAAAGGGACTCCATCTATAGCCTGTCTGTCCAATACCACTTGTCACTTCCTGCCACCTGGAGGAGACGATCTTCCACTGCATGCATGCAGCCATTAGAGATTCCTCTGGACGTACCCAAACACCAGGACCTTCTCAAACCTCGCGGCCCATTTGGGCCCGTAGTCCCTCATAGTCTCGACCCCTGGGAGCTGGAATGCCCTTTTTTTTATTGGTTTATCTTTAGATAAACCAGTGAAGTTTTGTTTCAACTGTTTGCCTTTGTCACTTCCATCTATATCTGGGTTTATTTGATAAATGTAGCTCTGTTTAAAGGAAATTTAACATATTTCATAAGATCTGTCGTTTCCCCGTCGTAGTGCTGCAGATTTAGAAACACACTAGCTGCATGATGGTCTTACTCTAGTAATTAGTTATTTTTTATTTTTGACTTGTATCAGTAAAGATGGAAGAAAAAAAGTTGTCCTTTGGTTTGTTTTCAGACTGGATGAAATCTGTGCTTTGGGAGGACTCCTCCCTCCTGCTGTTTTTATATGTTCTTTTATTAATAAATGTTGCATTCGTGAACCATTTCCTTATTCTTTATGTATTTAAAACACAACCTGGAGCTGCTACAAACTGTGACATTTGATCCATTTTAAGCCTTTGCTGTCATTCCCTTAGATTACTATGACAACGATGGAGCAAATGGAGGAGCCGGGGTGTCTGGAAGCCTTTCAGGAGGCCCTCCGTTCAGCTCCCCCGAAGCGCCGGCTCCAAGCTCCTATGCTTCCTATTACCAGAATGAAGGCTCCTACACGCCCCAAGCAGCCAGCAAAATGCCCAAAAAGAAACCCCCCGGGCTGAAGGGGGGAAAGGGAAACATTCCAGGTCCCCCTAGGGGCCCCGCTGGGCCTCCAGGAGGCTATATGTCAGGGCCCCCTGCAGGGCAGGGCCCGTACAGCCAGTATGGGCCGGTAAAGAAGAGCTTCAACCAGAACCAGGGCGTCGCAGGCGGTTACTCCTACAGCACCGCCTACCCCAGCCAGGTGACGGGAGGGGCTGGTCCTGGAGGGAACCAGGACTACGGCTATGAAGGTGAGTTCCTGTGCAGCCTGAAAGAGTTTGGAAATTTAGTCTTTCCCATTTTTAGGCACAGATAGAAGGAAGAAAATTAGTATTTCCAGACTATTAATCATCCTGCTTCACTATTTCATCATTTCTTTCTCAATCATCCATCATTTCATCCGTTCATCCAGACAGTAATCCTTTCATTTTCCAGTTTTTCTATCCGTCCTTCAGTTTAATATGCAGTGTTGTTTTTGACAGCCATCTTAGATTAAGTCTTTAAAGATATTATTAGTTCTATTCACATTTTATAAATTACGATATGCAATAGTTTTAGTCAGTTTTAGTTGACTAAAACTAGACTAAACCCTTTTTAAGTTTTAGTCAGTTTAATGTTGCAAAAAAAAGTGAACCTTTACAATCTGGAATAACAACCAGATTCTTTCCCAGACTGACAGCTCTAGCATAGATCCTATAATGGCTGGGTGAGGAATGCTGCCATGCAGTTCATCATTGCTGTTGGGCAGAAAACTTTGATTTATAGAATTCAAATAAACTTTTTTTATGAATTGATGCTCTACTTTATAATAAAAAGTTTCACAAAACTGTGAATATAGCAGATCTAGTTCAACACATCGTACTGTTGATAAAGCAGACAGAAAAGCTAACAAAATGTAAAATATTAATAAATAATATTTGGAGGAATGATTTTAAACATACAAGGTTTCCATTATAAAGCAAAAACTTCCTGATCTACTATGAATTATGCATTACACACAGATCAATAAAATCTTCATTGCTCCAAAAAAGTGAAAAGCAAAAACATTCTTCTTTCTACTTTGGCAATTTTGGCTTTATTTCTGACAATTTACCCCCCAGGTACTGCTGCTCAGCTTTCAAAGCTTTGGTTTCAAAATTACACACATTTGTTAAGTAGAAGTATTGATACTGCAGTCTAAAAACACTGGTAAAAGTTGAAGTATAACCTAAACATCTTAACTCCAGTAAAAGTGAAAAAGTATGTGCTCCAAAAACAACTTAAACTATAAAGTAACCTTTAAAAAAACAGCCAGATGCCACTATATGAATTGAAAGCTAAATTTTTTGAATAATTCGAAAAATTCTCTGAGATAAGACCAAGGATGAGGGAGGTCTTGTTGGTCTCCATCTCCCGATACGCTCTCGCCTGTGTCCGACCTTTCAGACATTTCAACATCTTTTTCTGAATCCAACATTGTAGCATGGCAAAGACAATTCACGTTTGCAGTTTGAAGAACAGCTGCTTGCTTCTGATGATTCCCTTTAGGTAACCAATGAGTGTTTGCGTTATATGACTCATCAATTACACAAGTTTTCACTAGATGTGGATGGCGCAAATGATCTGAATTGGATGGAGCACATAACGTGAAATAAATATTTATAAACATTAAACCGAAGCCAAGAGTAACGAGTAACGTTTAAAAATGTAAGGAATAGAAAGTACAGATACTTGTGTGAAAATGTAATGAGTAGAAGTCAGAGGTAGGAAGAAAAATAAGTAATGGAGTAAAGTATAGATACCCAAAAATTGTACTTAAGTACAGTAAAGAAGTTTACTTCGTTACGTGACACCTCTGGATCAAAGTAGATTTAAATTCACAGGATTTTGATATAAGAAAAAAATACAGAGAGAACCTACATGATTTGTAATTCCATGATGATACAAACTTAAATGAATATGCTGACTAAAATATTTAAGGGAAACGGAGAAACTATTTTAATGACAATACAAGGAAACATTTACTTCATATTTAAATAGAAACAAGAACAATAGGAGAGAAATATTCAAAGATTTATCTACCTCTTTCTCTGGCTCTTTATCCAAAACTTAATGGTATGCAATGAAATATTTTTTTGGACATCATTTAAGGATTTCTTTTGGTAGAAATTCTTTTGTGAGCTGGAAGAAAAAAATCTTGATAAGAGATTTTTTACGCTTGGCAGAGGATGATCAGCCACGTAGTTTATTAAGTAGCGAGAGCAGGAAGAGCCATACTGCTGAGGGCAAACCATTAGAGGCGTGAAGCGACAGAGCTAAGCCGCGCAAAGACGCATTTCTGCACAGCTGGAAGATCAGCAGAGTTTGTCAGAGTTGAGGGCGCAGTACCAGGCCATTGCATGTTATTTTCTGCCACTGCTGCCATGATCCATCTGTGCTCCTGCAGCATGTGCGACGCTGCGCAGAAGGAGGGCGGCAGGATCAAACAAGACGCAGCAGCACGGGTGATACTGCTCAGCAGGTTACAGCATGATGAAGTTTAAACATCTGACCAATGACCTGATTTAGTCTAGCTGACTAAAACTCAAACCATGACTAGTCATGTTTCAGTCATCTAAGATCCATGTTTAGCTCGTCAGGTTTCATTATCTCCATGAAAAAAAAGGAGCGTCAATGAAATAATTTCGTTATCCTCATTGTTGACGAGAACAACACTGTCATCCTTCAGCCAACAAAACATTCATCCAGCCATCTTGGATCCAACCATCAGTCATCAGTTTCTGACATCGATCTTTGTATTTTGGTTTAAACTTTCTAGGTTGGTTTAATTTCATTCAGTTAGAACAGAAATGCACTTGAACAGTAAATTGCTCACAAATCTCACTCTAGTTTTTATAGCTTTAAAAAAAAAAAAAGCATGTTGACACTGGATCTTAGAGTTTTCATTGTTTTCACTGGGAGGTGCTAATTGGTTTAGCTGCATCACTTCCTTGTTTAGTCCCTTGCCCATATGAACAGTAGTGTACTTTCGTTGTCATAGAAATGCACACAGCGCTTTATTTACTGACAAAATGAACAAAACATATATTTCTAATGAAACAGCAGAAATTAAACAGAAATTAAAACTATTCAACCAGAGGGAATTCTGGAGAAATGTCGTACAGCTTGAGTACACATATTTAAAGTGGAACCAAGATTGATTAAATGACACAGCTCCAATCCATCCAAACTTGTCCTCCTGATTCATAGATCTCATTTATTTATTTATTATTTTGCTAATTTTTCACGTCTCCTCTGCTTCCAGGCTTCAGCTCCCCTCCCAGTTACAGCGGACAGGGAGTGGCCAACCAGGGCTTCGGCCCCAACCACAGCCAGTACCACACCCCGGGCTTCGGCCGAGGCGACGGCAACATGAACTACCAGTATAGATAAGCTGTTAGCGCTCATGTCTGAACCAGTGACACCCTGCATCCGTGTCTCCAAACCTTTTCCACAGAGAGTGACGGACGACCTGCCTCTGCTCTTTGCCTTCTCCATGTTTGCTTCCTATGTGCTTTCAGATTTAGATGTAGCACATGTTGGCACACTTTTTGAGATTTGTGGACTTTTTAAATTAGTGGTCTGTTTCAATGGTATGATCTGTTTTCGGTTTATATTTATTTTTGTAAGCTTTTGCTCTTGGTCTTTGCCACTACATATGAAAATGGATGTGATGCACCTATTTTTAAGTCCAGACTTTAGTTTCTTTTTATTTTAATTTTAATGGCTGGAAGAATCGGAGACAACTTCAAGTAAAAAAAAAAAAAAGTAGTTTAACCAATGTTTTGATTTTGTTGCTCCATTGTTTTGGTAGCTTTAATATGTACCCAGAGATCTTTTTCTTTTTTTTTTGTCTTTCTTCCCAGCAGTGGTTGTGCTCTGTGGCCGTTTTCTGTTCTTTACCTGATGTGACGTGGTGGTTTCACCATCTGATTTATAACTGGAACATTAATTCTGCTGTTGAAACCACATCTCTGCTCAATGTAGCTTTTAAATTGGGTGGGGTTTACTCCTGTTAATGTGTAACAGAGTGTTTGTATTAAAAAATACTTTTTATTTTGAATTAACAGTTGTATTCTTGCATTTGTATCGTTTATGAGCATAAAACAATAAGCTGTTAGGCTAATTATAGTAGAGGTTAAACATTTGGTTTCCCTAATAAGTCAGAGTAAATTATCCTCTAATAATGTTACAGTTCAGTTTGATAATATGAAAAACTAGGAATAATGAGCTGGTTGTATTAAGAGTAGATCTAAAGTATTTTGCTTATATAATCCAATCTTATTTACTTACTATAGGCTCTTTATTTAATAGTAGAATTTTATTATATGTGGAGCTTAATTATTTTAAAACCAAAAATATTTTTGGACTTTACAACTTAATGTGATATCATGTTTTGCCTGCATGAAAAACTGAAAAAATTAGAAATAGTTGTGGAAGGATAAAAGTTGTAAAAGCCAGAGGGTTAATCAGAGCAGCTAATTTATTTTTTCTTCCTGTGTAAATGTTCCCAACTTGATCAAATTCATCTGGAAGATCAAACCGGATAAAGTAAAAAATATCTGTTCTCTCAAAGCTCTTAGCTGACGGAGGTCTGAATGTTCTTACTTTTACTTCACTTAATCAAGCTATAAAAATGAACTGGATTAAAGGTTCCTTAATAGTCCAAACAGCATGTGGAACATCTTCCCCTCTAACCTGTTTGCTAATGTTGGTAGTCTTAACTTCCTGCTAATAAACTGTGTACAGAATTATTAGACAAGTTGTATTTTTAGGATTATTTTTATTATTGGGCCACAATTGTGTTCTCAATCAACCCAAAAGACTCTTTAATATCAAAGTTTCATATTTTGGCCATTTTATGAGGATGTCTGTGTGTGGAGGTAAATATATTACTGTGCAGAATTATTACGCAACATAGTAAAAAAACAACTATACCCATCTCACTTGTTTATTTTCATCAGGTAAACCAATATAACAGCTCAAAATTCATTTACGACATTCGAAAACAAATCAGTGACCAATATAGCCACCTTTCTTCCCAATGGCGCTCTAAAGCCTTCCATCCATAGATTCTGTCAGTGTCTTGATCTGTTTAGGATCCACATTGCGTGCAGCAGCCACCACAACCTCTCAGACACTGTTCACAGAGGTGGACTGTTTTCCCTCGCTGTAGGTCTATATATATATACTGTATATACATATCTCTCACTATATATATATATACGTATTGACTCCTCTTTGTTAACCATTTGCTAAAATCAATAAAGTTCTTTTTATTTCTCTTTAATTTACACTCAACACTCCATCTTGAAAGAAAAAAACAGAAATGATCCTTCCTTGCAGATCCTCTCCAGTTCTGTCAGGTTGGATGGTGAGGGTTGGTGGACAGCCATTTTCTGGTCTCTCCAGAGATGCTCAGTTGGCTTTAGGTCAGGGCTCTTGCTGGGCCAGTCAAGAATGGTCACAGAGTTGTTCCCAGTCGATTCCTGTGTTATTTTAGCTGTGTGCTTGGGGTCATTGTTTTGTTAAAAGGTGAACCTTTGGCCCAGTCTGAGGTCCTGAGCTCTCTGGAAGAGGTTTTCTTACAGGATTTCTCTGTACTTGGCTGCATTCATCTTTCTCTTCAATTGCAACCAGTCTTTCTTTCCCTGCAGCTGGAAAAACAGCCCCATAACATGATGCTGCCACCACCATGCTTCGCTGCAGCAATTGTATTGGGCAGGTGATGAGCAGTGCTTGTTTTTCTCCACACATACCGCTTAGAATTAAACCCAAAATGTTCAATCTTGGTCTCATCAGACCAGAAAATCTTCTTTCTCATAGTCTGGGACCCTTCATGTGTTTTTTGGAAAACTCTATGAGGCTTTCATTTGTCTTGCACTGAGGAGAGGCTTGGGTCAGGCCAATCTGCCATAAAGCCCTGACTGCTGGAGGGCTGCAGTGATAGTTGACAGTGTGTAACTTTCTTCTTTCGCCCTACCGCATCTCTGGAGCTCAGTCACAGTGATGTTCATATTGGGCCGGATTTATCAAGATCCAATTTTGCGTGCAGTAATTTGCGCTCGCAAACTGGAATTTTGCGCGAGGGGCTGAACCATGGTTTGCGGGTGATTTAACAAGAGCGATTGCGTAACTGGTGGCAGGTGCAAAACTGTTGGAGACGCCCTATTTAAATGATGGTTTTGCACGTTTTGTGGTTTGCGGCAAAGTAGTTTGTAGTTTCTACAAACTAGTGCATTAAGAAATTTAAATCTTACAGTGATATAAAGAAAAAACTTTGGCAACCTTTATTCCCTAAGGTGGTATGTGGCTGAATTTCTACTTCACTGCAGTAAAAAAAAAAAAACAACAACAAAAACCAGGTGTTTTGTATTGGCCTGTAGAAAAATGCACATACCAAATGGCTCACAAGAAGTGACTGTGGATGAGATTACTGCGCGTACGCATCCCCGCAGCATTGGCATGTTGCTCCACATGCGCAGGGGGAGAACCCCGACCCCGTCGGACAGCACTTCTGAAAAACGAGATTGGAAGATCCCAGCTCTCGCTGCAACCGTACGCTGGAATGACCCAGATGCAAAAAAGTGCAATGTTGCAAGGAGTTTTGTGATATCTGGTATTGCGTGGGTCCTCCTTGTGGCTGGCTCCAAATCCATTCGGAGTTCCCCCAACAGCTCCAAAATGGCAATGCTGGATAAACGATATGTTTTGATGATCGTTTCCTCGTTCATTCCAAAAATATTCACACTGAGTGAAAAAATGCGTTCTCTGCGTCTCCTTGCTTCATTTCAATGTCTCCTTCTTGCGACAATAACCGCTGCCATGTGTGCGCAATTACGCATACAGACCTTCTTTTGAAACGTGTTAAATATAGAGTTAGATAACGTTAGCAAAATTGTTTTTAGGTTTGATAAATCACTTTGCGAGTGCTAAATTAATATATTTACATGTTCTCCTCCCACAAGACGCACTTTTGCGTGTAAACGCCCCATATTGCATATTCATAGCAGAAAAAGTACTAAATGGATAAGAGGCGCTATTTAGCACGTTTTAAAGACCAAATCCTTTTAGCACGCTGTTGATAGATCAGTTTGTACATTTTTTAGCGTGCGCAGTGAAATAGCTCACGTTTTTATACACGCAAACCTTTGATAGATCCGGCCCATTGATGTTTCATATTTTTCTCACCAAGGCCCTTCTCCCTAGCCTGACATAGTCCTACTCAATTCTAGTCGAACTTCCCGACCTCAAACGTTGTGGGCGGGACTAAGTTCGGAATGGCACCCAGGCTATCTTCTCCCACCATTACTTACTTGCACTGAGGAGAGACTTCCGTCACGCCACTCAGTTTGGCTGGTCACCCAGGTCTAGGAATAGTTCTGGTCGTCCCAACCTTCTTCCATTTAAGTGTTATGGAGGCCACTGTGCTCTTAGGAACCTTGAGTGCTGCACAAATTCTTTTGTAACCTTGGCTAGATCTCTGCTTTGCCACAATTCTGTCTCTGAGCTCTTTAAGTTTCTTTAACCTCATGATGCTTGTTTGCTCTGACATGCACTGTAAGCTGTAAGGTCTTCTATGGACAGGTGTGTGCCTTTCCTACTAGAGTCGAATTCTGTATAATTAAACACAGTAAGACTCCAATGAAGGAGCAAAACCATCTCAAGGAGGATCAGAAGAAATGGGGGCCAGTTCTTCAGGGCACTTCCGCCATAACATCCAGGGGAGGTATGATGAAGGGGCGGCCGAATCCAAAATAAACCTTATTGTTTTGAGAGCAGGCTGCACAGGAATTTATCGTCAGCCTCGAGTCTTCTCTTGCTGGCTCTACATGGCGAAATCCAATATTCCAAATTTGTTGGGCTTTTCCACCTTGAAGCAAGCATGCACATCAAAGATATTATCCCATTTCACCTTTGAGTTCAACCACCACAGCCAGCCTGCGCTCAATCACACCCAGCATACGGCTCAGCTCCCGGTGCTGCTCATTCACAGTCTTTGTGGGCGCATTAAACCTGATCAATGCCCAAATTGCTGGCGACATCCTCTGTAATTGTAGATACATCAGGTATCCTCCAAATCCAAACAGGAGAAATCCGAGTATCTTAAATCCGAAAATCCATACATCTTCCATATCCTCCACTGACAATATTGTAAAACACACCATCCTCCAAGCCTTCCAGGAGTCCATGGTGTATTCCACGAAGTATCCCCTGGCAGTAAAGAAAGGGTCCCCTTTACCCTGTCTTCCAGTTGAGAAAATTTTATCAATTATTGCATTGAGAGACCAGCTGACCAGATCCATTGTTCCATTGTTTGAATTCAGGTGATAAGAAGAGAGGGCTCACAAAAGACAAGACACAGCAAAGCAGGGACAGATCAGGGAGTTGTGGAGATATATGTATATATAGATATTATGCAGCTGGAAGCCAGGGTTCGTATCCTAACAGGAGGGAATGAGCTGACAGTGTGGGTCTTTAGGCAAGATGCTTAACGTTAATCCCCACACTGCACCCTGGGTGCCGCACAATGGCAGCTCATTGCTCCCCAAAAGATGGGTTGAATGCAGAGAGTTCATGTCGCTGCTCTGTACTTCTGACAGTGTAATGACGATAAAATGGTGGGGAAAAAAAGAAAAAATCTATATATATAGATCTCTCTCTCTCTCTGTATATATATATATATATATATATATATATATATATATATATATATATATATATATACTGTAAACAATAGTGTAAAAATGTCCACAGCTGTATATTGATTATCTTTTCTTCAGATGCACAGTATTATTTTTTGTAAAACAAATACAGTACAGTATT